ACAACAGCAACAACAACAACAACTGCCTTGTGCTAAGTATCATTTTCTGCGAAACGGTTTTAATATTATGGGTCATGTTCATGATTTAAGGTTTTCCAGTCCTCAGTAGTGTTAGCGGCGGTGAGTGCGGGAGTGGCAGTGGCGGGGCTAGTATTGTTTAGTATTGGTCGTCGTTCTTGTGTTCGCGGTCGTGAGTGCTGACCGAAAGCCAAGACAAAAGACAACAAAGTCTGCACCTGTGCTCGCTGCTAGACTTTGCTGCTTGCCAAGACCTTGTAGATATTAAAAAAAGGGTTGTTGATCACGCGATAACAGACTCATCAAAAGTAACAACAACACTAACATGGTGGAGCGAGCCGCTTTCGCTGCGTTTTGCATCGAGGAAACGAGCTGGTAAACTGAGTTGCGGAGAAGCCGTCTCACAGTGGTTTGGGGTTTTCAGGGGTCTGGTTTTCGATAGGCAGTCTGTTTTTTCGAGTTTTCGGTGTGCAGCTGAAGCGCCACAGACACGTGAGCGAGGAAAAGCAAAGCGCGAGCCGATTGTCTGCCCGGACTCATTTCCAAATTCCGATGCTGCCGTAAAGTTGGACGCAGCATCAACATAAGTAAAGCCGGCGTTGCTTGGGACATCAAGTTCGTTTAGTAGCCTCGCCAGGGCTCCTGGTAAGGTGTCGGGGCTTTCGTAGCCTAGTGCAGGGTGACTCGCGGGTGCATCAACGCGCAGGGATCGCAATTCGTGAGCCAAGTGCCGTTCAGACTCGGTCACGCTTCGATGCTCGTTTGTTAGTTTAGGCGAGGCCATGTTTGCAGGGCAAGCTAGGCTGTTTGCATACGCGAACAGGCACCCAGGTTTCGAGATCGTTTGTGCAGCCATTGAGTCCCTGGACGGGTCTTGTGAGTCCCTCTGTGTGCCCCGCTCTCCAACGCTTGCGACCCACAGCAGTGGGCTTCAAGCAACTTTACAGAGAAAAAACGCGCCCTCCTTGTGCAAAGGGCGCGGGGAAGCGCAGTGGGAGGCCGTCCTCAAACGAACCTACCTTAAATTTTGAGCCTTCAACCCTGAAGCCTCAGCCTTGAGAACGGAACCTAAACCTTGAACCGTAAAAATTTCGACCGTCCGTGAATACATCGACTGCATGAAGTAGAGCTGCTCGTGTGTTAGTGTGCGCCCTGGTTGCCCCTGCCCTTTCCGTACTCGTGCCGCCATGGGTGCGTCACAGAGCCATGCGTGCACCTCAATGAACCTCGTCTGATCAACGGAGAACTGCATTTTTGGCAAAGATTGGGTGCGTTTCAAACCTGCCGCGGGTATCACGTTCTTGTATTGTGGCGGTTTAAACTTCTTGGCTTGCTTTATCCAGTCCTCAGGAAAAGATTATAAGTTTTTGGGTACTCGACAAGACAGGAACCTCAATTTGCCAGGGCCCGGGGTCTGCAAAGGGTGCTTGTCGGTGACCTGCAAGTGCAAGGATGCCGGCAACCACGACAGCTATTTCCAGGTCGGGCTTTTCGGTTTCAAAGCATTACTCGAGACGTCAGGGATGGGATACGCAGGGCTCTCTTTTCTGTTTTTGACCTTGCTATTCCTGAGGTGGGGCCCATAACCCATCACTACACAGCGGGCAATCCCGGCGCCTCCATTCACTACTCTGGGCACGGCGCTGTGGGATGCGGTGTGGGCGTCGGCTACGGGCCTGCTTCCGCGAGCGCGGGTGTGTGTTTTGTCGGAAGCGATGTGGGGGTTCATCAAAAGGTCCTTGAAGGAAAATTAGCTAGGGGATTTCCGGGCCTGAGACTCCTTACGTGTGTTCCAGAAGCTACCTCCCGTCACCCAGGAGCCAAAAAGTTTGAGTTCCACAGCCCAAAAAACAGGATTCGACACGTAGTTGTGAGATCCAGGACTTGCCATCCTCTGAAATTAAGGTTCTTCCGCTCTATTGTAATCGCCCGACACCTCGTTGTTTGTAGGGTCTTATTGCAAATCCCGCTATAGAATTTATAAGCACCCTACCAAAATCAGGAACCCCAAACGTGGCCCTGGCTTGGGCTACCTTTGAAAAGGTCTTGATAATGATCTCTATAGGCATATAAGCATTTCAATAGAAGGACAGTCAAAGGCCCAAATTTGGGGATCCGTCACAAACGAATGTCAGTGCTATGTGCTTCCCAGCCTTGCTCGGCGGCAGCGATCAGGCAAGATCTGAGGGTATCCGTTACTACGCCGCTGGCGTACAAGCTAGCAGCGTCCGTGAACTCGCTTTCGTTTCCGCAAGCGACTATACGCGTCTTCCTTCTGAAGGATTCGCCTTCCTTACCGGGCTTAGCGGTGCACACGGTCTTGGTATGCAAAAGATTGGATCTCGGATCCCTGCGCAATGCTTCGGCCTCTGGCCCGCTGTGCCGGATGATGGCGCCCTTCTCAACAAGGGAGTCCAGCTCCTTCCGCATGGATTCCTTCCACCTGGAGCCGAATTTACGAATCTCCTGAGGGGCCACAGTAAGCACGGTTTCCAGAGGAGATCCCTGCAACGCTTCCAGCTTCCCTTCTACGTCGGGGGTGTATAGATCAACCTTTGCCACGGATGGATTGGAAGCTACAGGCTCGGGCAGTGTCGGAGCATCGAGAGCTGGAATTTCTGAGTTCCCAGCAAATTCGTCACGAAGAAGCAGAACTGCCGGGTTCAGAGAGAGAGCTGGAAGTCTAGGACGACTGGCGGCATTGACGGCAGAGGGCCGTGGGCCGTCTCGCAGGGCAGTGCTGCCGTCCTTTGACACCTGAGCAGTTCGGATGCCGGGAGTTTGATCCGGCGGTTTGTTTCTTCCCTCCTCCTGGAATCCGTACTCCCTCCGGAGCAGGGCAACCCACTTCAATAGCAGACGCTCTGCTATATGACTGATCTGGAGGTTGCATCCAGGTCGCTGATTTATGAAGCACCTGAGAGCGGTTTGGGCTGCCTCAACATCCTGCGGGGCTGCAATGGTCTCCGCGAGAGACCCAATCCTTTCGGCAGCCTCAAACAGATCAGCGTGGATCGGTAGTGGTTGCAGTAGGGAGCGGAGCCGTGAAACGCTGCGCCCGGACTGATCTCCTTGGACCTCGATCCAGGAGGTGGCGTTCGGTTGAGGAGCTTGCTGTGCAAGTGTGTGAAACCTGCGCTCAAGAACCTCTGAAACAAAACCTTGCTTGGAAGACGGTCGGTCTCCGGCGGCAACAGGTGGGACGCCCTCTGAGTAGGGAGTTGCTGGGGCAGGGCCATTAGGACGGCGATCACCAACAGAACTAAGCTCTCCACGTGCAGTCGAGAAGTGGCCCAGCAGTGTAGCCCGTTGGGACGTCCATGCTGAGGTGCGACATGAGGAACCCGTTAAAGGCCTCCATGGTCTCGAACTTGCAGAGGCCCACCAGGTCCATGGCCAAGGCTCGGCGGACCAGCGCGTTCTGCAAGTCCGCAGTTCACCTCCTGGTACTTGTCCTTCACCGTCACCTGGTTGTTGGTCACGTCCAGCTTTTTCCTCGGCTTCTCCATCCACAGCTCCGCTTGCCTTGTCCCGAACCGGTGAGGGGCCAGGTAGCAGATGCTGTTTTCTGCAAGCATCTCCGTGCATGTGGGAGACTCGTACGTGAAACATGTCTGACGCTGTCTGGAGTGCCTGCTCCTCGCGCCAGTACGTACCCGGAAGGGAGGCGCTCCCTATGGGTTGATAGGAGATCGCGGTGACGACGTGGGGGCGGGGGGCCACGACAGCGGGGGGGAGGGGGGGGGCGGAGTGGTGCTGTGACGGGACACGACCAAACCACGGTCTGAATCTGTGGTTTGATTCAATGGCCACCATCGCTTCAATCAGGGACAGGAGCCGGAAGAGCGCCTTTGCATCGCATGCATCACGCAAAGTGCGGATCAGATTTTCCTACCCTGTAGGCACATCCATTTCTGCTGGGATTGCGCTGTAAACAATCGCGAAAACTAACACAACAAAACAAGACCGGGCTTGCAAAAGCAACAAAAAACTAACACCGCCGCCTCGCAGATTCGACGAGTTGCCTGTCATCATCGCTTTTGAATTCGAAGTCCTGGTCATCGCCACGTTGCAAACCCATCCTTTTGCGAAACAGTTTCATTTGAAGCCGGCAAGAAATTGAAGTCTTCAAGTGCGTTGGTTCTTGTTTGACACACGCTGCAATGACGTATGGCTCTAACAATGTGTCATCGCACCACTCAAGACCCAATATCTTTAATTGATACAAAGGTTGATCTTATTCCCACAGAATTGTTCGTTTGAGCTGTAGGCTGTAGGCTTTTCTTCGAAGCCATGGTCGCGCCGAAGAGTCGGAAACCATGGCAGTTGCTGGTATCGGGGCTTGCTGGGTGCATGGAGTGCATGCACATGCTGTGGGTTTTCGTGCCAAGTCGAGTTCATGAAAAACAGCCAGTGCAAACAAGATTGGCAGCAGATGGCAGGACTCGTGGGCGCAAGACATTTGAGTTGCCCCCGCTGACAAGTCCTGCAAATCCTGCAGAACATGTTTTCATCCCCCTGGAAAATTATAGCGAGAAGATAGAAGAACTTTTCCAGGAGGAGGAGTTTCTGTTCATCCGCGGGGGTGTGGGAGTCGGGAAAAGTACTTTGGGGGCCCACTTGGGACGAGAATCTCCGAAAAGATTTGTCAGTGTTTCTTTTGGCGATGGCGAGTACGATTCTTGGTGCAAGAACATCGTTGCAGGCATTGTGCATGCAACCGGGCTAACGGTACCGAAGAGTGACACACAACTTGAGGACGCATTGCGACTGGCAAAAGAGCACAATCTGATACTGGTATTGGACGAAGCGCACACAATCTTCAACGTGGGACGCATTGTAACATTGCTCTTCAAGAGCAGGGACCACCCCAAAGTGGTGTTTCTTTCAGCATCAGGCGAAGTTACTGGGAGCACTCCTACTACACCCGTCGAGATCACGCAAAAATATTTTTGGACTCCTCCCATCCCTGACGTTGATGATGACTTTGTTGCACAATTGGCAGAGGCGGGGGTGCGCTTGGACCAGGACAGCACTGACTTCTTCATGAATCTCTGCGGAGGTCACAGATCCATCTTCATGGCCGCGATGAAGTGGGCCAAAGAAATGCAGAAAGGAGCAAATTGGACGTATCATGACACCGTGACCAATGTTCGCGCCAGCATACATGCAAGCAGCAACAGCTGGTCGACACCTGGCTCAATTTTGAAGGGACTTGCTGCATCTCGAGGCGTGAAAGTCAACGGGCTGTTTAGCAACCTTGACATGACACCAATGGAATTTGTCACGATTCTTTGCCAGGGTCCAGGCCGGCTGCCTCAGAAGTTGTGCCGTGACTTGACAGTCTGTGGTTTTGTACAGCCAGTGCCTATCGAGGCAGGTTCTGGCGAGTTCCGGCGAATCGATTGGACGAGCGACGATGTCGTGTATATGGTCGCAAACCCAATTCTGGCGACCTACTATAGGAATCGATTGGAGAGCTCTCGCGGCTTGACAGTGACAGTGCATCCTTTTATCCCTGCGAACTGCATGGACTTGCTACTGCGCGCAGTTCCTTATCTTACCTTTGTCCAGGTTGTGGGGTACTCGCCACAGGCAGCATCAAGTTCCGCGCTGTCCACGGACGAATTGCCCTTTGAAGACCAATACAATGCTGCCATCATCGAAAGCTTAACAAAGCTCGGATACAAAACTGATTCTTCCCACAGCCCAACAGTTGGCAAGGTGGACATTTTTGCGGACATTGAGGACAGGAGCTTCAGTGTGGAATGCATTATGGCAAAGCGTAGGATTGATGACCACCACGAGCACCGGAGCCGCTTTGACAATCCTTCTACGCCGGCGTACAGCAAGGCTGACAACAAAGCACTAGTCACGATTGGACGCTCCAAAGATCTGGTGCGACACCGCGTTTCGCAAACGAAAGCAGATGGGGTCGAGATCATCGGCTTGGTGCCCAATGCCGCGCACACTGGCTACAGCATCTTGTACCGAGGTGCGGGTGCCAAGAAATATCCGACTCGCCTTTTTAACGCTCTATCTGTTTGAACTTGAGCCGTTTCATTGCCAGCCCCATAGCCTTTATTATGAAGGCTCTCTCGGATTTTGGAGTGAGTTGAAAAGCCAAAGTCATCCAACTGCCTGGAGGTGCCCAAGCTACACAGGGTGCAGATTTGGTGGAGTACAATGTCGAGTGCGACCTTGTGGCACGTGCTTTGGACACCAATGGAAGGCTCCATTGCATCCAGAAGGTTTCGCACATCGCGCAACCTCAAGGCCGGTACGAGTATAATTTCTTCCAAATCTGTCAGGTGTTCCGTCAACTGCTCCCTTTGTGGTCATTGTTGATCTGCAATTCTCGGCTGTGCTGCGTTTGTTAGCACCCTGTGAGTCTCATCTGCCGGATTTGCAGGCACAGGAGTTGCAAGTGGTGAGACCGTTGCTCCAAGTGCTAAGTGCTCACAGTCACTGCTGAACGGTCAGGACAGCCGACGGCGCCACCCACGTTCACCGTTTGGGTAAGGCAGCTCCGAGAGGCGCCCGGGACGCAGAGGCGTTGAGGGAACGTGGGCTGCGAACCCAGCGCTGGTTTGCGGCATTGATCTTTGAATTGCCCAGCACAGTACCAAGCTTCGCCCCGTCTTGCAGGACGACAGCGGCACCGTCAGCGAGGACCCCGAGGACTCGGAAGCTGCAAGCGTCGGACGCCGCAGAGCACGCGATGCTTTGCGGATTCCGCGAAGCTCCGCCTGAGTGAGACTTGTGCCTGCGAGGAAGCTGCGTTTGTGATCGACAGTCAGGACCGGAAGCAGAGCTGGGAGCAATTGTGGCAGAACGCTTGTGGAACGCAGGAACATAAGCTTGACAACGTGGCCTACCTCAAGAAGGCTCCCTGGCCTGAGCAAATTTTCAGCCTCCAAACGGCTAAGAAGCGTTCCGAGGCCATCAAGAAGGAGGCCGAGCTCAAGGGGCCTGCAAATCGACTTCTCATTTACGCGCGGGAGGCGGGCGAGCCTCTGCGACTGGCGGATCCTTCCAGGGGCCCCTCCACCTGTCCAGAGCCAGGGCGGCGGCTGGAAGCCTCTGATCGACATGGAGGATGCACACCTCACGCGCGGCAGCAGGAAGCCCACGCCTCGGCTGCCCTTCCATGCCCGCCTTGACTGCCTTGTTTGCCGTGCGGTGGGCCCCCGCTCCGCTCCCAGGGCGGACTGCTACGGCTACCTGCCGCCGGGCGCGCGCGGCTCGAAAATGGGCCCAGCTTGCCGTGAGCCTTGCCCCCCGCGTCCCTGCCCCAGGCGTGAGAGGCCTCTGAGGGTTTAGGGTTTAGGGTTTAGGGTTTAGGGTTTAACGGTTTAGGGTTTAGGGTTTAGGGTTTAGTGAACTCAGATTTGTCCAGGCAATAGACCCTCTAGTCGCTGGTTGAGATCTCAAAGGCCGTAATGGTAGTGACAGCCAGCGGAGCCTAAACATGCTAAACCGTAAACAGTTCGGCAAGTGCGCCGCAATTTGGTGTTGAAGCTTTTGCTGCTCTCGCCGCTGGTTTCCGGAGGCACGCAGGGTGACCCCTCAGATGAACAGGGAGGCGAGCCGATAGGGGGAAGCCTGATTCTGCAGAGGCTGCACAGCTGATACTTGGGCTGTTTCAGCGGCTTGTGGGGTGGAGGGCTTCCCTGGAAGAGCCGATGCTGACAGCGATACCGGGCCCACAGGTACAAACGATGCTGGTGCCATCCCAGAGCCCCGATCTGACTCCGAGGTCCTAGCATTAGCATCTCTCCGAACCCCATGCTAGTAGGCACATTCTGAAGCAATGCACACTTGTGGCCAGTATCTCGTCTCCTTGACCATGAACTCCCTCATCCCGGCGACCGCGGCGTGTGCCTTTGCAAACGGCACACGGGTTCCAGCATGCTATGTTGAACACCCAGAAACACCAAGTCCTCTACATTGCCACCCGTGCCAAGATCACGATCATCAATGTGCTCCTGATGGTCGCGGCCAGGTGCCCCCTCTGTCACGCGAATGTGGCTAAACTCCTAAACCCTATAACCCTAAGCCCCTAAACCCNNCTAAACCCCAAACCCTAAACAAAACCTACACCAGTGAAGTTTATAGAGGTCGCAAGCATGCCAAGAGCTGAGAGTCTGTGCTTGGGAAAAGCTGGTGCTCTGGCGCTTGCTTCCGGACCACTTTCAATTTCGAACCCATGTTTTGGTATGATCGCTCCTTGCTTCGGTTTCAGCCTCTCTTAAGCAAGCAAAGATAGAGGTCTCTACTCGCAACATTCGGTTCCAGCTGCTCAGAGCCAAAATTTTCGAAAGCCTTGGACCTGCTGCTTGCCTTAGCCACTTTATATAAGCCCACTATAGAAGCATATAGAAAGCAAAATCAGGATTTTACAGTAAGTCCCAACTCCCAGATGGTTCGGCGAGCGGGAGGTGCATCTCACCAAGTGTCCACCTCGGGCTCCGGCGGAGGGGGGGGGGGGGAGTATTGTCGCAGAGCCAGACACCTGTGTAGTGGTTTGGTTCCACAGTAAAGCTTTCGTGCGGCGACCCAGTGCAAAGGCGTGGCTGGGCATTTATTGCTTGTACATAATGGGTAGTTCTCTAAATTAGGGCCCCTTTTTAGGTCCCCAATATAGTGCGGCACCCGTATAAAAAGGATCCGAATTGGGACCCTAACTTAAAGAACTACCCATATACTGTTTGGGACGTTGGTTTAAAGGAGTC